CCCCCTGCCACCACTTCCTTGTATCCTGTAGTAGTAAGACAAAAGCCTGTCCTGCCCCCTGATGAGAGTGGACCTGCTGATTTGTTGAATGAGAATCCCCCTCCCTACCACCCTCCTCCGCAGGCTGCTATGGCGGTGCCAGAGGATGTCCAAGCAGAGGGGCCGGAGGCAGCTCCTTCTCCCATTGCCGGTCGACTCAGAGAGAGGAGAGGGCAGGGAGATTCCTCACACATTTTGCCCCTCCGACTTGTAGGAGGGGAAGGAAACCAATATCAATATTGGCCCTTCTCTGCCTCAGATCTATATAACTGGAAGACCCATAACCCTTCTTTCTCTCAGGACCCGCAGGCCCTAACGGCCCTCATAGAATCCATCCTTCTTACCCACCAGCCTACGTGGGATGATTGCCAACAGCTATTACAGGTCCTCCTAACTACGGAGGAAAAGCAGAGGGTCATCCTGGAAGCCCGGAAGCACGTCCCGGGGGCAGATGGGAGGCCGACCCAGCTGCCGAATGAGATTGAGGCTGCCTTCCCTCTCACTAGGCCTGCTTGGGACTTCAATACAGCTGAAGGTAGGGGACACCTACGTCTTTATCGCCAGGTGCTTGTAGCGGGCCTCCAAGGGGCAGGAAGGCGCCCCACCAATTTGGCTAAGGTAAGATCAGTAATGCAGGGAACTGACGAGCCACCCACTGTGTTCCTAGAAAGACTTAAAGAGGCATATCGGAGGTATACTCCCTTCGACCCAGATAGTCCTGATCAAGAAGTGAGTGTTTCTATGTCTTTCATATGGCAGTCAGCTCCTGATATTAGGAGTAAGCTCCAGAGAATGGAAAATCTACAGGGGCAAAGTCTTAGAGACCTCTTAAGAGAGGCAGAGAGGATTTTTAACAAAAGAGAAACTCCAGAGGAAAAAGAAGAGAGACAGAAAAGAGAGGCAGAAGATAGACAATGAGAGACTGAAAGCGGAATAAGGAATTAAGTAGAATCCTGGCCACAGTAGTGAGAAAGGAAGACGGGCAGAGTAGAGAGGAAGGGAGACCAAGGGCGTGTCCGACTAGAAAAAGACCAGTGTGCCTACTGCAAGGAGAAAGGATACTGGGCGAAGGACTGCACCAAGAGAAAAGAAAAGCAGAGAGAAGAAAGAGCCAAGATCCTCCAGCTTGATTAGGGAAGTCGGGGCCAGGAACCCCCACCTGAGCCCAGGGTAACTCTTCATGTGGGGGGACAGCCAGTCACCTTCATGGTAGACACTGGGGCGCAACATTCCGTCCTCACCCAAACGACTGGCCCGCTTAGCAAAAAGACAATATGGGTAGAAAGGGCTACTGGAGCAAAGCGTTATCGCTGGACTACAGGCCGGAAAGTGCAGCTCGCCTCAGGGACTGTGACTCATACCTTCTTACATGTACCAGACTGTCCCTACCCCTTGTTAGGAAGAGATCTACTAACCAAGCTTGGAGCACACATTTATTTTGAAGGGAAAGGGGCTAGAATTACAGACTCCACTGGAGCGCCCATACAGGTGCTCACCCTCAAACTAGAAGATGAATATACACTATATAATGCCCCCTCCTCTATCCAGAAAGACATGGGCAGGTGGCTCT